CCCAGGGTCTGCAGGGGACACGTGCACTACGGTCCGTCACAGATCCTGGGAAGAGGCATGAGCAGGATGCAAGCAGTCTGGGCACCGCTTGGGTAGAAGATTCCAGGGTCCTGTGTACCTGGAGTAAAGTCCGGAGAGGCGAGCACAAATGGCGGGTGGACACAGCCCCTTGGCCCAACTCCTCATTTCAAGGAGAGGCACAGGGCAAGGCCCCCTCTCGCCATGGTCTAGGGCAGTGCCACCAAAAGGTTCGGACTGTCTCCCTGTGAGCCCATCAGTGCCATCCCAAGGGGGGTACATCCTGCTCTTCCAGCCAAAGATTTACTCTTCCCATGTGGTCACTTTGTTTTTAAAATGTATGTTGGCCAGAGGGGGCGCCTGCCTGTGCGTGCAGCTGGCTAAGGGGCAGACTCTAGGTTTCCGCTCAGGTCATGATCTCAGGATCTCAGGATTGTGGGGTGTTCAGGGGGCAGTCTGCTTCTCTCCCTCTCCCTCCCACCTCTCAAAAATAAATAAATAAATCTTTTAAAAAAAAATGTAGCTTGGCCAGAATCTCAGAAGCAATTCACACCACCATCTCTGTTGGTGGTCACATCTCAATCCGTCAAGTAAACTTTGAACTTATACACATAGACACAAATGCAAATCAGGTAAAAAAAGAAAAAAGCCAAGCCAAATAAAATCTTGTTTGGCATTGAACCAACTAAATTTTAGGAGATTCATTTCTTGTAAAAAATACAGGGACAGGGGCACCTGGGTGGCTCAGTCGGTTAAGCATCTGCCTTTGGCTCAGGTCATGATCCCAGGGTCCTGGGATCGAGCCCCACATCGGGCTCCCTGCTCAGTGGGAAGCCTGCTTCTCCCTCTCCCTCTGCCCCTCCCCGCTCCACTCATGTTCTCTCTCACTTGCTCTCTTTCTCGCTCAAATAAAATACAAAAAAATCTTAAAAAAATACAGGAACAGGTAACACAGATTTGAAATACACTGACAGACACCAATGCTGAGTGACGGGTACAGGGGATTTGTTTTTCCTTCTACTTTTGTACATTTGAAAATGTTCACGCTTAAAGGTTATGGGAAAGGTTTTTGAGCCACAGAGCCCCAAAAAGGAGCCTGGCAAGACATGACATCAGACTCCTCCTGGTGAGGTACACAGACGACAGAAGTACACACTAACCCAGTTTGCGTTTTCATGAATATCATGCTGAACATACCTCCAAGTAGGAAGAAGGACCCAGCCACAAGCCGTGGAGGCCCACATGTGGGGGCTGCCCCGGTGTCCCAAGTCAGCAGCCTGGAGCCTCCACCTGGCCCTCCCTGTCTTGCAGGCTCCACCCAGGACAGCTGATCACCTGGCCACTCAACGGATCCTCTCAAGTGCCCTTAAGCAGGTCAAACTGGAAGGCACTGACCAACTAATTCTGGGCCGCAAAGCCAGGGAAAGTGAGCAAAGCAAGTTTAGCAGAAGCCTTGCTTGGCTCTGTGGCCATTTCAGCAATTCAAACAAAGCAGGATATCGTGGTCTCTATATAAACACAGCAGCAGGGAAAGCCCAGGCCCGGTGTTTACACAGAAACTTTCCCCCCAGAAGCTCAGCGTAATTTAGGGACACTCACTAATTAAGTTAATTAAGTCTCCCAGGCCTCCTTCCCACCCCCACCCCCACAGCCCCGGCTCCCTGTTCAACAGCAAGCGTGGCTGGGGGCAAGAGGCAGGGTTGCACTCGCTCACAAACACCCGTGTAAACACACGGACGCTCGCAGGCCACCCTTCCTGGGGGCTGTTTGGAGAAGGCTGAACTTCGGAGTATCCGTGTGTGTTCTGAAAATGAAATCCACAAACAACATGCACAGTTCCCTTCCCTTGGTCCACACTAGGTCTAAAAGAGACAAAAGGAAAGACAGCAAGTACTTTTCGTCCAGATGTGCCAATAAGAGAACCTCTGCATGCTAACTCTGGATGGCGGACCACGGGGAACTGTTCCATGCTATGGCTTTTCACCTGTACTTGAGAAGCCTCCTACTTTCGAATCAGGTCACCGAGAAAACGTAGGCCAACATGTTTGGCTTTTCTGCTTCCGAATCCCTGTTCCCACGGATCTACTCTGAAGACAGACTCTCAACCTAATTCTTGTAGAAGCAGGAATTTAGAAGTATTCCCTCAGCAACCTTCCTGCTGGCAGGCTCGATGGCCCGGCGTGGAGACCTGGGTGCAGAGTCACTGCGGAACGAACAGCAGGACTGGGCCCAGCCACAGACCAACAAAGGATCGTCAGCTTTTCCTAAACGCACAGCCCAGCTCAAGGCCCTGACTGTCTCTGAGCACTGCCTGGAAACGAGAAGCAATTTTTGTGAGCCCCTGCGGGTGGTGAGAGGCCTTTTCAAGTGTGGATCCTTGTGGGGTAACCTGTGCCTTTGAAGAGCTGTGCTTGCAGCCGGCGCACGAGCTCTCCTGCTGTTCTCCCTAAAAGCAGCGGCATGCATCTGCCTCCGGACAAGCAGAGGAACGCTCACTGGCTGGGGAGAAACCACCACCCACATGGTAATAAACCATCCACTTAAGTCTCCCTGGCCTCTCGTTCCTCCCCGTTCCTCCCTGGGAGACCCATCACAGGAAACCACAGCTCAAGTGAGAGGAAGCTGCCCCTAGGCTTGAGCCTCATGGAAAGGGTGAGTGGTCAGGATTCCAACGCTGGCTATTGCCGGCCTCCACAGATGTCCGGCCCCGTGCAAAAAAGCAGGCATTGAAACCTTCCGGGGAAAAAAATGAAAGTACGCTTTTCCTTGTCAAGGAAAGGAAAGCAAAGAAGCCAGCCCTTTGAAACACAGATGGGAATTTCAAATTCAGAACCATTCTATCAAATTGTGGTGTGTTTCGGATACTTGAAAAGCCTGAAACAACAACTTTCTAGTAACAGAAGGCTTTGATAATCCTCCTCTGGACCAGCAATACCACCAAACACTATAGCTGCTTTTTAAAGATAGTTTCACTTAAGAAAAACAGACTTTAAAAATTAAGCATTCAGTCTAAGTTCTACTGAAAAATGAATGCTCGGTTAAGTGACAAATGTGGGCTGCACATGAGTTGAAGACAAGCCAATTCCTTCCATTACACCCTCTGTACTAGAATCCAGTGGACTGTAGTCACCAAAGTAATATACATGCATCACAGCCCAAACTGAATTTCCAAATGGAAAATATGCATTATATTATTTTCATTAATCATTTTAAAGTCTTCACTTCTGAAAAAATAGTCTTTTTCTCCAAGTGGCTTCAAAGGAACTCTTAAATGTGCATGAACCTTGCTTAACGTTGCCGCAATCCAAGTGACGGACGTTTTAATCTCTTTGATGAAGGAGTATTTTTGTACCATGAAATGAATCTCTTGGCTCTGATAAATGTGGTACGAAGTAGACATCTAAAATGGAATGGAAATTTCTGTGGTTTTCTTTCAAGACCTTAGCAAATGACCAAACTTGGATTTTTCGGGACAGAGCACAAACTAGAATAATCTGATAATAATTTAATCAACGACTGGATGCACACTATGGTACTAACAATACTGGAGACATTGTTTCAGTAACCAAGTGACTGAAAACAAGCCTGACAACTATATGCTAATGAAATGATTAGGGAAACTGAAATAGAAGAGATGATTCTTCCAAGAGGCATATCCTAACTGAAGAATCCATGCATACAAATATGGGGGTGGGGCAGAAAGAATAGAGACGTTTATAGTGTTGTGGAAGTGAGTGCCCTGGTCATCCAGAACCTAAAGGACAGTGACCTTCCTCCGTGCTTTGTTTAGGACGAACAAGATAAGATGGTATAGCAGGACACCAGCTGGAAGCCTACTCTCCAGTGTTCAAGTTTAAAGTTCTAACAGTTCTACCCGGTTTTGCTCACTTTGGCCTTCCCCATGAAGTTAGCCACAAAACAAGGGACAGGGTGACTAGTTGGTGATACCAGGAAGCCATGCGTTGTATGACACTGTAAAAACAGCCACACACTCAGTGGATTAAGCACCTGGCTCTTGGTTTCAGCTCAGGTCATGATCTCAGGGTGTGAGATCAGCAGGGAGTCGGCTTGAGATTCTCTCTCTCTCCCTCTGCCCCTCCTCAGGTAGAGGTGTGTCACCTTGGAGCAAGCAAGTTTCATAGCCTCTTCAGGCTCCAGTTTACTCATCTATAATATGGGGATAATAGTAGCTCTTTTGCAGAACTGTGAAAGTTAAATGAGATCACCACTGAAGTCCTTGGCACAAGGCCAGTCTCAACACTTCCTGAAGCACGGATGTGAAATATTCGGGCTTGGCATCTAACTTCAAATACATCCAGCATAAAGGTAGAGTCACCAGGTGGTACATTTGATTACAAGTTCTGCACTTTGCAAAACTGATGCTTCTCAGCCAAGTGTCTACGTGAGGTTAATAAAGGTGCCATCAGAGGTTTCTCCGGGGTCTATGTCCCCGTGTGTGTGTCCCCCATCCCCTCCGGAACAGAAGCTAGCCAACACAAACCAACGGGCGCCAATCACTGGTTTCATCAACAGGTGCAAAAGAAAACGAGCGCCAGGCACGGGGTCGGGGCGGCTCCTAAAACAATCCCCTGGGATTGCGGTGAACCTATAACGCGTCCCGGCGGGGCCCGGGGGCATGAAAGGCCACACCGGCTCTCCAAGAGCGCAACCACCGGGCGGGCGCGGCGAGGGCAGACCCCCAGGAGGTGCGGTGGGCCGCCGCGCCCTGGGCCCGGCCTGCGGGGCACTCTGGCATCCCCGGGGTCACCTCATTGAAAGAGGCCGCCCGCACCCCGCGCGCGACCCCCACTCCCCGGCTGTCTCAGCGCCGCCCGGGACTCGTCACCTCGGGGAAGGGAGGTGCCCCTTTCTCGAAGTCTGGGCACGATCAGCGCCCTCGCCTCGGGCGTCGTCGCTCCCCCGGGACGGGAGACCAGGGGAGCGCGTTCCCGGCCCCGGGTCCGCGGCGGGGTCGCACTCACCGAGCGTGGCCACCGTGCCGGCCTCGAAGAGCAGGCAGTCCCCGCGGCCGCGCGCCTCCAGCAGGACGCTCCACTCCCCGGAGGCGTCCAGCCGCCCGAGCAGCCGCAGCCCTTTGCTCAGCGCCATGGGCGCCGGGGCGCGTCGGGCCCGAGGGCGCGCAGCCCGTCTCCGCTCCCCGCGCGCCCACAAGTGCCAGGAGTTTCACTTTGGGCCGCGGCTCCGGGCCCCGCGCAGGCTCCTCCCCGGCCTCCTCCCCGGCCTCTTCCGCGGCCTTCCCCCCGCCCCCGCCGCGCCGCCCCGGGGCAGGTGAGGGCGCGCTGCCGCCTCCCCGCCCCCGCGTCCCGCGCCCGAAGGCGCCGCGCTCCCCCCAGCGGCGAGGCAGCTGCGGCCGGACGGGCCTGGCGTCGGCGCCCCGCGCCCCCGGGGCTTTGCTCGGGGGCCTAATCCCGGGCCCCCGGCCGGAGGGGAAGTCCTCCCTGCGGCGGACGGCCGCCGAGGAGGAAGATTCCACACATTCCTGGGCGCGCAGGAGGACGCGGCCGCGGGGTGCCCCACTGAGCCTAAAAACGCTGCAGGACGCCCGGCCTTATAAGGGCAGCCCGGCCGGGGCCCGCGGCGCTGCGAGGCAGGAGTCCGCGGCCTGCCCTCCTCGGTCCCGGCCCGGGCGGTGCACGACGCTGGGCCACTCACTTCAACCCTCTGTGCCTCAGTTGCCCTGCGGGTGAAGCGGGTTTAAGGTTGTGCTGAGGATCCAGTTAGCTCCCAGAAGGGGCTTTAGTGAGTGCCTGGCGAGTGGCAAATCTTCAATAAATGTCGCCTTTTAGCTTTCTATACGTGAGGATACCGTGGTCCACTTCCACACCAGGGAGAATTTGAGGGGATCAAAGGCGTGTTGTCTCAGAGAAAACTGAGATTGTGACTTCTAGGCGGGCCCCTTATGTGACCTTGACTCCTCTGAGCCCGCTTTCCTGACCTGTCAGATGGCGGCAGTACCTGTCCCACCCGCTCACGCTTGCCGGATGGGTGCTGAGTCCGAGGTCAGGGCTGAAAGCTCGCGAAGTAACAAGCAGGGCAGCTGTGAGGGGCTGGTGGGTGCAGCGCGAGGGGTCTCCTCCCTCTCCCTGCAGCCTCTCCTCCCACTCTGGGGTATTGTCCTCGACTTCAGGGCAGACACTGCCATCAGCCAGTTTGTACTCAGGGCGTGCGGACTTCAGCACAGATCCGTGCCTCATTCATTGGCTTATGCTGCCCCTCCGCGGATGCCCTCGCAGCTAAGCGAAGGGAGGCAGGGCCCCTCTCGGCACTGGGTTCTAGCCAGATGCCAGGACTCATCTACAGGGGAGGGGAGAAGGGAGAGGGCTTCTTACCCAGAATGGCTCCTCGGGTGGGTTTGGAGGTTTTGTTTCCTTCTCCTGTCATGGGTGTGTATGCACAGCCCCAGAGACCTCCACCAGGCTCCCAAACCACCCGGGGAACCTCTCACCCCACAACCTGCTTGCATTGAAGACTGTGGGTCGGGCTCGTTGTCTCCGGAGCACGTTCCAGAAGGAGCAGAGTCCCCAGTGCCAAGCAGGACGCTGTGGTGCCCTTGCAGACGTTCAGGAATGACAGGGAATGACCAGATATTCAGTCCTCTGTGGACAACCTCCCAGGTGATGATGAATTGGGGAATAAAGTAAATGTAAACAACTGGCAGAGATTCAAATCATTCCTCAGCCTTCTGTCCTGTTGCTCACAAATGTAGTTATGAAGTGTGGATATCCCAGGTATGACGCTCAAAGCTGTCCACACAGTTTCTTCCTCTCTGAAATGGAGCTTTATCCATGAAATGATACAAAGTAGCCTCTGGCCCTCTTTTAAACCTGAAGCTCACTTCTTCCAGGAAGCCCTCCTAGAACAATGAGGTCCCAGGAAATAGTGTTTATATGTACTCAGATTCACAGATGTACATTTCAGCTCTCATTTGCTCATGTGCTGCTTGAGACATGTTTTTATATTTCTTTTCTCTTAGCTCTGCTTCACAAATTAGGGATAAGGTCTCAGGGACGACCTAGTCTTTTAAAATTTTAACTCTCCCCCTCTTTTGTGCCTTCTCTAGCATCACATAATTTGAAGCTCTGCATCGCGGCATGCTGTACGTATTGTAGAAACTTTCCTATGGTGAAGACCAGCACTTGAGCTTTACAGTTTATATTATCTAAGACACAATCAACGGGAAGACAAACCACGATTTTAGGTGCTGCCGAGAAACATTGCTGCCCGCTCACCTCTGTAACTAAATTGTTGGCTATGTTCTGATTTCAGCAATGGCATGGCGTGCATCTTAGACTCAGTGAACTATAGTGGCTGCCCCCTTATCTCTGACATGTGGCTGAATGAGCCAGGAGCCTGCTGGGTTTTCAGGTCGCTGTGCTCTGGTTTGGAGTGAACCGTCAACAAGGGTGGCTGACGAAGCACCAGCCTTACGTGCGCACTGCCTTGATGGGCCAAGCCCCCCCACCCCCACCCCCGGACACTGGCACAGTTAGCAGATGGAGAAAGTAGCAGAGCTTGAGACATTCAAGAAAAGGCTCCGCTCTGATACGTAACGGGCAAGTGGAACCTGGGGAGGCAAGGGAACCCATCTGAGTGGGGAAAGTCTGGGCATATTCTGCTCCTGAGCTGTAGGCTCCTGGAGGGCCCATGATTGGAGGGGGAGGAGGTGAGGAAGGAATGAAAAGCGACCTCCATCAACCCCGGGGGGTGGGATAGGCACCCCCCACAGGAAATTCATGCTGGCTGTGCTGGGGGGAGGCAGGCAGGACCTGGGGAGTCTGGAGCCCAGCAAGCTCTCAAAGCAGAGCGAGAAAGAGGGGAGAGCTTTGAAAGAAATGAACAACGGCTGTGTCTGGTACCTGATTCCTTGAGAGGCAGAAAGGACAGTGAGGAGTCAGAAAGGAGCCCAGTGTTTAGAGAATGGGACAGAGTGGCACCATCGACAGACAGGAGACCTAGGGAGTGGGCTCGTGGGTGTGGTTGGGGATGAGCTGAGCTTAAGACGAGCAAGGTCACCCAGTAGAAAAGGCCAGAAATGAACAGCTGGAGGCGGCGAAGAGGCTGTCTCTGCAGGGGAGAGTGGAGACGGGCGTCTGAGCCTGGGAGGGGCAGGGGGAAAGACCCTGAAGAAGCAGTCTGAGAGATTTGAGAAGCCCAGGGAAACGGAGTGGCCAGTGGTTGTAAACCTCAGAAGGGCTGTTTGAATAGGGATTCAGGGGCACCTGGGTGGCTCATTCGGTTGAGCATCCGACTTTTGATCTCAGGGTCGTTCATAAGTGGAGCCTACTTTAAAATTTTTTTAAAAAAATTCAAGAATGAGGACTCAGAAGAGAACCTTGGTTTGGTGACCTTTGAGTGGTTAGTTTTTTAGAGGGTTGGGCAAAAAGTCAGCTTGCAAAGAATTAAGGAAGAAATGTAGGCAGTAAGGGTACTGAGCTAGCTCTAGGAGCCTGGTGATGAGAAACACAGATATGATGCAGCCAGAGGGGACAGTAGAAGCTTTCTAAGATGGGCCAGGCCTTTGCAGGCAGCAAAGACAGGAGGTGGGGGGCAGGGGCGATTAAAGACGCTGTGTGGAACGGATGCGTCTCCTCTAGAGATGAGAAGGAAGGCCAGGCTCTTCGGAGGGAGGGATAGGACGGTGGGAGGCAGGGTCGAGAAGGAGGGTAGGAAGCATCATCCTTCCAAAGGCCTGGCCCCGGCTGAACCCCCAAAAAGCAAGGAAGGGGGTGGGAATGGGAACCCTTTTCCCGAGGGCGGGAAAAGCCCTGAACATTTGCTGTGGCATAGGTGTCTCTAGAAGGTGTGTTCCAAGTCCCCTGGGCTTGAGGAGATAATGGGATCCTAAAGCTAGGGACAACCTCAGCTGATCCTCTCTCGGGTCTTTGCCAAAGGAGGAGAATGTCTCAATTCTGTCAGCAATGCCTTAAAAATATATCCAGGGCCTGACCACTGTTAGCCTCCCCATGAACTCAGGTTCGGTGCTCTGTGACACAGACCCTGCGCTGGTGGGGGTTTGCGAGCAGGACCTGGTGTACTGGGGAGGGCTCTCAGGCCCTAGGCCAAGGGAAGGGAGAATGAAGTTGAGCTGCCACGCAGGCCGCACCAACCCCTCAGGACCTCCAGAGAGGGGTGAACCCTGGAGGTGTCCTCAATGCATCAACCAGTGTTTGCCTTCAAGATGGGTACAACCTTGCGCCCGGGGGGCTCCCTTCGGCCAGGAGCAGCATTCCAGCACTCGGAGAATAACTGCCTCCCTCTACCACATCACCCCTGCCCCTCCTGGCCCAAGATCACGAGCCTGGCCCCCAGTTAGCAGCCCCACTCCCAGAAGCCCATGTCCACTGTGATCCAGGACCCTGCCCTCCGGGGCCATCAGCTTCTGGTTTGTTCAGCCAACACATAACCTACCTCTCTCTGCTCTTCCTCAAATGCACCAGGCGCCCCTGCTCAGGCCTTTGCCCTTAGAATGCTGCACCCCTACACACCCCCGTGGCTGGTTCTCTCCCTCTTTCAGATCTGTTAAAAAATTGTCCTCTTTGTGAGGCCTCTCTGAGCATCCCTACGTAAATCTCCCCCGCCCACCTAACCCGACGTCATGCGCTGAATTGTGTCAATCCAAATTCACATTCAGCATGTGACTGCGTTTGGAGACGGGCCCTTTAAAGAGGTGATTCAGCTAAAATGAGGTCACATGGGTGGGCCCTAATCCAATCTGTGTCCCTATAAAGAGAGGAGATGAAGACACAGACAGGCACAGAGGGAAGACCAAGTGAAGCCACAGGGAGAAGACGCAGACTTGCCAACACTGATCTCTGACCTCCAGCCTCAGGAACCTTGAGAAATAAACTTCTGTTGTTTAAGCCCACCGTCTGTGGAACTTTGTTCAAGTGGCCGAGCCGACGAATACACTCTCTATCTCACGTCTTCTTCTCTGCTCAAATTTTCTCCTTAGCACGCGTCCCTCTCTAACATAAGAAACCGTTTGTTTATTTACTTACTTATCGCGTCTGTCACCCTCCGCCCGCCGTGTTATAAGCTGGCTGAGCAGGGATGCTTTCGTCTGATTTGTTCCGGGCATATCCCTGGTCCG